ATCCATTATCATTATACAAATTAAAACATCAAAACCTTTTTACAACACAACATATTCAATTTAAGGAAATTGAAGTGCATTCCTGAAATTCTCAAAATTGCCTTTTTTTAGGAATGTGAAATTCTGATAATAACAAGTGACCAAGAAAATAGCCAGAGGACATTTCTTAAATTTAACCTTAAATCAACTATGGCACCTATATCTGTATTACATATTTTACTTATAGCTTTAAATTGTAGTAATTTTTTCTCAAGAGATAAAAACTGAATAACTCTTTAATTGTTTGGTATCAGAGAAATGTTCATAAAGTAATTTTTTTTACTTATAGGTTTGGTTTCTACAACGATACCTATGTACTTAGCAGAATGTTCCCCAGTTTATGCAAGAGGAATGTTGGTATCCACCAATATTGCAATGGTAGCCTTTGGACAGTTTGTTGCTAATGTTGTATCTGGTATTTTTGGTTCTGATGCAGAAAATGGTTGGAGGTGAGTTTTTTTTTTAAAGACCATGATCTTAACTCTGTATTTTGTCAGATGGAAATTATGATCAGAACATTGTCTTACTTCAGTTTCCTGCTCTATGTAGGCCTTATGTATTTTTTAGAAAAATTAGTTAATGACAATGTGAACGTTAATGGTCAAAAATATTGCTCTTTTTATAATCAGATCTGCAACTTGATTCAATTTCAAAATAGTTCTAACAATTCTAAATATTTGCATCCATTTTTTAGAAAAATTAGTTAATGACAATGTGAACGTTAATGGTCAAAAATATTGCTCTTTTTATAATCAGATCTGCAACTTGATTCAATTTCAATAGTTCTAACAATTCTAAATATTTGCATCCATTTTTTAGAAAAATTAGTTAATGACAATGTGAACGTTAATGGTCAAAAATATTGCTCTTTTTATAATCAGATCTGCAACTTGATTCAATTTCAAAATAGTTCTAACAATTCTAAATATTTGCATCCATTAAAGTTAAAGTTTCATAAAGTTGATTCTGTTTTCTGTATTGATTTAGAAAGAAAAGTATATAACGGCATCCAGTGAGAAACTTCACCAGAACATTCAATACTGAACTTTGTTTAAAAAAATAGTTTTCTTTTGATGAATTAAGGCATTATAATTAATTTTCATATTGAGACATGCCTAAAAATATTACATATTATTTTACCTTATACTGTCACAATGTCACATGTCAATAACTGTTCCCTTCTGTTATTTTCAAGGTATATGTTGGGTCTAGGAAGTGTGCCCTCTTTAGTGCAGTTTATTGGGTTTCTGTTTATGCCTGAGTCTCCACGTTGGTTAATTAGTGAAGGAAGAGATGAGAAGGCTAGGAGGGTGTTACAGTCTATGAGAGGGCAATTAGATATTGAAGATGAATTTGAAAGTATTAAACAGAGTTGTATGAA